AGAAAGCTGCTCAGGCGTCGTTTGAGGCTGTGAACCGGCACCACATTCTTTTCTCCCACGGAGTCAACTTTATCAGCCGTCATGTCTTTTATCGTTGATGGTGTTTTCATCACCTCAACGGGCTGTTCCGCCTTTGTGACCACCGCAGGCTGTGGGTCAACTTCTTCATGTACCGTTTTGCGTGGCGCTTCATTGGTGGGGATGCGTGTTGTGTCATGCAGGGGATCGGGCAACGGTCCCTGCGGCTCCGGTCCCATCTGCTTGATGAAAGACATCAACGTCGCCTCCTCTCTGCCCTTCGAACGCTCCAAAATCCTGCGAAGTCGAGGCAATCTTTCGGGACGATACGCCAAAAGGTGGCGCGCAAAACGTGACTCCCACACCTTTGCATCATCAGCGGCGTTCTCCGTGAGCGGAGGGGCAGGCGTTTTTGCGGCGTCATTAGGCTCCGGCCCGTAGCGCTTCACCAGCGTCTGTATCAGTTCCTCCTCGGTTCCCGTCCAGTGGCGAAGAATTACCGGCACCGTATCAACTTTATCCGGGCTGTAATGCGCGTAAAATCGGCGAATACGTTCCTCAAAGGCTGCAGAAAAATCTGTCGCATGCGCATCATTCGCAGGAACCTTGGCTGTAGCAGCAGGAGCAGCAGGAGAGGGAAGAGAAGCGCGTTTCGCTTTCCCAGTCTGCGCTTTGGGTGGCTCCTCTGACTTCTTCGATAAGATCGACCCCATGTTGTCTCGGCAAAAAAAAAAAAAAAAAAAAAAACCAGCACTCTTACAGATAAATGAAGTATTCCTTCGTAAAAAAAAAAATAAATAAATAAAAAATAATAATTGAAATATAAATAAGAATAGAGGTGAGAGAACATATATATATAATAACAACAACAACAACGGTCATGACGCCATGTCAACATTATCGTTTTAAGAGAAACACGACAATACATATAGGCATCAACGTGCACGTACGCATGTAAGTGTGGATGGGCAGGCAACAGTACGTAGCAGTCATATTCACGATATTCAGTGTCGATAAAACAGTTCACGTCAAGAAAGAAGAAGAAAAACAATAAAAACAACAACAAGAAGAAGAGGTACAGAGACGTACACAAATAATTAAAAAATAATTGTACTACATTCGTCGCATATTCACTTGCTTTATTGTTTTCCGCCCCCGCCATACGAGACGATCAGACAGCGAAAGCTTTTCTTCTCGCCATCGCCGCAACTCTTCCTGAGAGACCTCCGGCAGCGACCATATGTCCGGATCAACAGTTTCCCCGCAGGTTTGAACGGAGGGTAAAAGCGGCGCAGGTTGACACGATGGAGGCGCCGGGTGTGGGTGAAAGAATGCGTCAAGGCGCCGTGAATTCTCTGCCTGCTGCTCTTCCGTAAGACACCACTCCACACTAAATAACCGGATAAAACTCGAAACATCCACCGCACGCTGACTGCTTTCCGCACGGGCAACCGCCAGACCTTCACTGCCACTCAAATTGTTGCGTGTATCCTTCACGGAGTCACCCGGTGCCACGGCCGTATCCTCCGTGGACGCCAAACATGGCTTCTCCCCTTCCTGATCAGCGGAACACTCTTCAATGACTGAAGGCTCAGGGCCGAAGCGACGCACAAGTGCCTTCATCAGCTTCGCTTCTTTCCCAGAATACTTGCGAAGAATCACTTCGACATGTGGCACCTTTTCAGGGTCGTAACGAAGAAAAAAGGACGTCAAACGCTGGTGGTAATCGACACGCTCGACGGGTGTTGTGGACGCTAACGGTGAATGGTCATCGGGAGCCGGCTGGATGCCCTCCTGTGCGTATTTCTTCTTCAATTGCCTCACAAGCAACTCTTCTTTTCCCTCTTACTTACGCAGAAGGTAGTCCACGTGCACCAGCCTCGATGGGTCATACTTCTGCAGTATCGCCACAGCGGCATCACGATACGCACTTTTACCATCAGAAGAAGGATGACACTCGTCCTGCAAGTCCCCTGCTGGAAGGTCAACAGCAGGAGCAACGGCACATTCAGGCTGCGGCAGCCGTGATTTGTACTTCTTCAGGAGTGCAGCTATAAGCTTCTCCTCCTTCCCGGCATACTTTTCCAGCATGTCATCCACGTAACCCAGTTTGGTCTCATCGTGCTCATGGAAAAATGCTACAAGTCTGTCACGGTAACTAGGAGGCACTGTCGATAAAAGTGGCACCGCACCGTTGGACATGCACAAACACAACACACGAGCGCTGACTGAGGCAGAAACCCCCTCAATATATATTTATTTATTTAGAGATTAGACGCGGCCCTTGTGATGTTTGTGGTGGCGTCACACGTGAGCCTTTCAAAAAAAAAAAGAAATTAAATGTGAATGCAAACAAACATGTCACTGCTGAGCGTCATGCTGCCACGTGTGGCGGACATGAAAGAGTAACAGTGCACATGCACATACAAACAGCCAAGAAGGCAGTCGTCACCTCTCGCTACTGTTGTCGCCAATACCTTATGCAAAGACAAAATATTAACACACACACACAGAGAGAGAAGGCAAACAGTAAAAATAAAATAAACATACGGATGTATGCACCTTGTAATTTACCGCCCTTCTTTCCTCCCGCTCCTCTTTTCCTTTTTTTTTTCCTTTTAAAGTGTTCTTCCCCCCTCCCCTTCACTCACATAAAATGTCAACGTTAACGCTCATATATTATTAATATTTTCTTCCTCCTCTTCTCATCCTTTCAATGCCCCCCTTCACAGGCGGTGTGGCGATGCACTCGAATGGTTTTGGTCAGCAGTCGCCATGCCGCCTTGACGCTGCTCGCTCTGCCGTCACCTTGCGGGCACCAAATACCAGGGTGGTGAGGCACACAAGGCATGACGGCACATCTGTCAATTGAATTAAAATCCACCATTCGCCAGTTATCCCCATGCAGCACACGTCCGTTTCATTTTTACATCGCAGTAATGTAGAGGGAGGGAGGGAGGGAGGGTGGGGGGAGGGGGGACGCTGCACCGGTCATACGCCTCGTTGCAGCGATAAAATAATTGCGC